GAGGAGTTAATAGCCTTTGTTTGTACTAAAAATTAGGCGAATTTATGATTGAGAGACGTAAAGTAATAAGTTTGCGCAATGTTCAGGATAAAGCGTTGTAATGAATCATATAATTTTTTGTTTTATATTTTTATTACTAAATTYTCAAATATGTATGTATATGTATATAAACGAGTTAGAACTTATCACAACCTAACGTTATATGGTAAAAATTTTAATGGCTTGTGTTTTATCAGTAAAGTTGAAATAGAACAGTGCCATTATGAGACATAGAATTGGAATTTTTGAAATGCCGAAAGAAAATGTATACAACTTTTGTGCATATAATATATGTACATGTGTGTACATGTATGTAAGTAAAATAATAATACCGGCAAACCATACATATATAATCTATATTGAATACTCACACGCAGCTATCTGTACAAATGGTATTATCACACTTATACCTTGTACATACATACATACATGCGCTTACATGCATTGATATGCGCTGATTGTACTTGCGTTCACGAATGCACATTCTTAGCAGTGCGACATGCCTGTATGTCGTTTGGAAAGTGTTGATTTTAACTCTGAATGATTTGGTCAGTGACCAACGAATATATCTATATGTGTACGTTTAAAAAAACAAAGTTCAATACCACAACATATCACATATCGAGTTAATTTAACCAATTTGAACTTTACTTGTTTTTAAATTTATAAGAGTTACATTTTATATTGATTAAAATTGACCTGCAAGTTTAATTAGAGTTCAAATATACATATATGTACATATATATATTTAAGTACTTATCTTATAAAATGAAATCAGAATACATACCTTATTAGAAATAACACAATCTGATCAAATGTGTACCTAAAGTTTAAGGTGTTTTAGTACGAGTCTAGCATTAACACGCTTCATACCATCACCATTAACCAAATGTTTTGAGTTGATCTATAAGAGATCTACATATTTCTCTGATGTCAACATTATAATTTTCCAGTACTGTTTTTTAACTTTTTCGAAGTCCATAACAACGGTAGATAGACGACTCGCATGAAGCAAGTTTTCGATGAACTAAATTCGAAGAACTAAATTCTCAAAATCCCTTCTGCAAACGATTCCGTAGACGTGTTTCCATTAAAAAGTTTTTTTCTGAAGTACATAAAGTGAATTCGGTTTTTTTTCACGATGATTGGAATTATTCAACAAAGCAACTCCATTACATTTTATGTGCGAAATCAAATTTCTGGTACCGAAACGTTTAGAATGTTGGAAAAGAAAGAAATGAGCAAATGTTTTTGTACAAATTATTCAAAGAGGACGAGAACACGTTGACGACGAACCATGTCCAGGGCGGGCATCAACATCAGCTGTTGATCAACAAGTCAATAAAATAAATTAATTTGTGCTTGAGGATTGGCGAGATCTCGTCTCTTTGGAATATCGGCAAGATCAGTGAAAACCAAKATCATTTGGGCCTAAGGAAAGTGAAAGGTTGGTTGGTTTCAAAATCACTTATTTCTTTTTTGAAAACAGCGTCGCGTTAACGTCTTTGAAACAATGCTTTCCGACAACCCGGATGTCATGAAACAATATTACCGGGGATCAGTCTTGCATCAATGGTTACTACCGGAAACATAAGATCAATCGTGGCAAAGGTGATTTGAAACCGAAAAAAACACGTCAAAACAGGTCAAGAATCTAGGTTATGTTGTCAGTTTTCTTCGATTATAAGTGTAGTGCCCTCCGAACTCCTTCCGACCAGTCAAACTTTCAACAAGGAGTACTATTTGAGTGTTATGTGTTGTTTGCGCGAAGCTATTCGTAAGAAGAGGCCGGAATTATGGACAACTCTTGATTTTTGCACCACGATAATGTACCGTTGTATACATGATTTATTCTTCGTGAGTTTTTATCAAAATTTTCAACAATATAGTGCCGCAACCATCGTATTCGTTTGATTACGCACCGTATGACTTCTGGCTATTCAACAAACTTAAACGACCACTTCTGGGAAACCGTCTAAAACAGTTAACAACTGTTGCGGCCAAGGGKACCATTTTGAGAGACTACTTTGAAGATTAAGTTAAGATTTTGAAAATTATAAACAAAGTCTTACTATTTTTTGCCCATAGTAGTATGCATCTATTCGAAATACTCAACTAATAACCACTCCCCATGGAGGACTACTTTCGTAGTTACTTCCTTAACTAGAGAATAACATATATACATACATATGTATATGGCATATGATATAAGGCTTTCATATACTCATACATACCATATGTATTATTTTGTTTGTTTCAATTAAAGCGTAATCAAAGTAGTTGAGTGGTGCAGTACTATGTCTTTTTATTCGATTAACATCAATGTTTTCGTATATAATTTATTTGTTATTTATGACTTCTGCTGATAAATAAAGCATTATAAGAGCATGTATGTATTGGTATGTCAAGCAACGAAAGAAAAATGTGTTTACAATTAAGTAGTATGTGCATTCCTACACACATACAAACATTCAAATATACATACGAAATAAGTGCATATGCACGCAAAATGAAATGGGTGAGCCACTGACTCGTTCACGTAAATTAAAAATGAACAAATTCAGTTTTTGTTTTATTTATTCTGCGTGCACAAATAAATGGGTTATTAAGTTTAATAACTGAGACGACCTTGTATCGTTTTCGAATCGGTTGCAGGCCATCGTCGGGTCGACCGTTCATTTTGCTCAGTTCCGTACAATTGTTTACATAAATGTTTTATAAAATGCAAAATCAAATTAAATCGCAATGAAATGTAATAAATTTGATCACCATTGCAGTAACAAGATGTGATAATACCCAAGCAAAGACGCTTGTATTAATGCTATGAACAGGGCGTATGCACTGATAACTTCCTGTAGTCTTCTTCGATTCCAAACAATAGTTAAATCATTGAAGGAGGGCGTAAATTGTTTTGTGTTTAAATTAAATTTATTTAAAATAATTAGAATTAATTACACMAAAAAAAACCAAAAAAGTCGAATCTTATGATATGTTCCTTATGCAGATTGCTTCAGGCTCTTGCTAGAAATAGAAGCTCCTTCCAACACCCTTGCGGTGACTAATTTGACTAATAAAAACTAAATTTTCACCTATTTTAATAAAAATATTTATTATTGCTTTCTAAATCGGCTCTTGCGTCAAGGCTTCATCCAATTTTACTACTCCTGTGATTTTTGTTGTAGCGGCAGAGAAAATATATTACGTTTACAGTCTTTGGCCGGATAATAATACTTTTGTTATAAGCCTCGACTGGGGTGACGTCAGTGCTTTAAGCGAACTTTGTTTTTTCCGCCTTGGGGCTCAATTTTTTTGTTAAGCTATCTCTGTTAGACATAGGTTTTGTACGAGTCTAGTTTTAACACGCTTCACACTCAGAACATTACCCAATCTCAAACAAACTGTTGGGTCGATCCATCAGAGATACTGAGATTCTCTGCTATTTCTCTGATGTCAATATGACGATTTTTTGTTATCGTCGTCAATAGAGATAGATGGACGACTAGTATGATGCAAGTTGTCGAGGACTTCACGATCTAGACTGAATGCTTTGTGACATTCGAATACGTTGTTCAAACTTTTTAATACTCGTGCACCATGTTTCTACAGCGTATAATAGTTTAGTTAACCTAAAAATAAGGGAGTTAGATATAGAGTTATATATATGCATATATATATAAATGATCAAGATGACGAGGCGAGTTGAAATCCGGGTGACTGTCTGTCGTCCGTCCGTCTGTGCAAGCTGTAACTTGAGTAAAAATGAAAATAAAGAAGAAAAAATGATGAGTTCGTAGATGGGCGTAATCGGACCACTGCCAAGTTCTCATAACGTCATTAACCGAGAACGTATAAGTACCATAACTAAATAACTCTAAAGGTATCACATTGCATAGGGGCATCCGTGCGCTAAAAATTTTGAAAAAGTGGTCTTGGGCCCTTGGGGCTTTTATAGGTTTAWTGTGCATATCTCTTAGACCACAATAGCGAAATTCTTCTTCTTCTTCTTAATTGGCGTAGACACCGCTTACGCGATTATAGCCGAGCTAACAACAGCGCGCCAGTCGTTGCTTCTTTTCGCTACGTGGCGCCAATTGGTCCTTCTCCACCTGGTCCTTCTCTCTCAGTTGTTGTCATCGTCCAAGCCTCTGCACCATATGGCAGGACTGGTATTATGAGTGACTTATAGAGTTTGGTTTTTGTTTGTCGAGAGAGGACTTTGCTTCTCAATTGCCTACTCAGTCCGAATTAGCACCTGTTGGCGAGAGTTATCCTACGTTGGATTTCCAGGCTGACATTGTTGGGGGTGTTTACGACGGTTCCAAGATAGACGAAATTATCGACGACTTCAAAGTTATGATTGTCAACAGTGACGTGAGAGCCTAGTCGCGAGTGCGACGACTGTTTGTTTGATGACAAGAGATATTTCGTCTTGCYCTCGTTCACTGCCAGATCCATTTGCTTTGCTTCCTTTTCCAGTCTGGAGAATGCAGAACCAACGGCGCGGGTGTTGAAGCCGATGATATTGATATCATACGATAGAACTGTACACTCTTATAGAAGATTGTACGGAGCTTTTGGTGCTGCTCAACGTCAGTTTACATAGCCGTATTAGTTTTGCGGGGATACCAAATTCAGACATCGCGGCATAAAGGCAGCTCCTTTTCGTGCTGTCGAAAGAAGCTCTGAAATCGACGAAGAGGTGGTGAGTGTCGATTTACTTTGTCTACTTATTTTCTATATTTTGTATGAAGTATTAAGAACTTTCCAGTTCTCCGTTCCCACAGACTCAGATTTTTTACCCGGTCAAGGATTGCCAACCCGGAAAATTCTGCCGTTATAACAACAACAACAACTTTTCAGTTCTAAATATCATTATACATATGTATATAGTAGAAAACATTGACAAATAATCCTCCTTTTGACTTATGATACTTAGAAAGCTTTATAATTATTATTTACAGCGTCTTGAATTCGATCGGGAAGGTCTAACAAAATTGAAAAAAGCCGTGAAAGCGATACACAATTCCGGAAACAGTAAGTATATCGCAGCTGTCATTTGAAGTGGCCGCCATTCATCATATTCAAATATTTTATTTCCAACACAGCACATGTGGACAATGAAATGTTTCTGGTGGGCGCTTTGGAGCGCCTTGGCGGCAAGGTGATTGATCAAGATGAACCGGATATCGGTGCTGCATTTCTCAAGTTCTCCGTCGTCACAAAGGAGCTTAGCGCTTTAATGAAAACCCTGGTAGGTTTCTGAGAAAATGCGAATTTATTCTTTCGATTTAAWAATTCGCTTAATCGGTTCTTGCTGTTTCCGTTTAATTTTTGATGCAGATGCAAAACATCAATAACATCATCATGTTTCCGGTGGATTCAATGCTGAAGAGCGAGCTGCGTGGTGTGAAGGGCGACATGAAACGACCTTTCGACAAGGCCGCAAAGGATTACGAAGCGAAATTCATAAAAATCGAAAAAGAGAAAAAGGCGCAAGCCAAAGAGGCAGGCATGGTGCGTACCGAAATCGATGCAGCTGTCGTCGCAGATGAAATGGAAAAGGAACGACGTCTCTATCAGTTGCAAACGTGTGAGGTAAGTGTATGCATTCACTACCTCGTGTAAGCATTTTTTCACATTTCTAATTGGTTGTGTATGTTTATTTTTATATTGTTTTAATGATTCCTTTTTATTGCATCGTATCACATTGCTGCTTTGTGTCGACCACCTTGCAGTATTTATTGAAATATAAGGAAATTAAAACAAAAACTGGTATAGAGCTGCTGCAGCATTTCATCGAGTATTATCACGCGCTAAATAAGTAAGTCAATTGTAATTTATGTACAGACAAATATGCGTTTGTGTACTGAGTAACGCGCATGCGCTTGTGTTTTGCATACTAATTCATTTCAATTGTTAATTCATTTGAATGTAATCGTTACTAATTTTTTGTATTTTTTTTTACACAAAAACTCTCCGCCAGTTACTTCAAGGATGGCTTACAAACAATCGAACACTTTGGCACGTACATTAGCGATTTAAGCGAGAAACTGCAATTGATCAAGCAAAAGCAAGATGAAGATCGACGCAGTTTACTCGATTTACGAACACTATTGCGCAGTACGCCCGATTTTGAGCGAGCGGATAATATGCCGGAGAAGGGTGCCGCTAATGCTGGTGGTTATTCKCTGCACCAATTGCAGGGCGATAAGCATCACGGTGTGACACGCTCAGGCCATCTGTTGAAAAAGAGTGAGGGCAAAGTGCGACGAGTCTGGCAGAAAAGACGTTGTCGTGTAACAGCTGACGGTTTTTTGGACATTTGCCATGCGGATGAGTCGAAGCCGCCAACACGCGTCAATTTATTGACATGCCAAATTAAGCCCGTACCAGATGACAAACGCGGCTTTGATCTAATCAGTTGTAAGTGCTCTTAGCTAATATGGAAATGACTTAAAATTATTATTATCAGGTTTGGAAATAATAAGCTGTTAAAATAAGAATTGAATCGACATATTTTTTTTTATTTTATAAATTTATATTTTTTTTTGTAATTCTGAAAATCCTAATTAAATTAAGAAATTAAATAAAAAATGTTATTCCCAAGTTAATAATTAAAAATTAAAAAATTAAGTACTTCTTTGCCTTCTACYAATTCTTTTGAAAAGGATAGCTTTTTAATAACATTTCAACCGAGTTACACAATTTTTGTCTTATATCCATTTAATTGCTTTTAATTATAAAGTTTCAGCTAGGATTAAATCTTTCCTTTTTTTATTCCTTTTCTATCAAGCTTTTAATTTGTAAAATTACTTTTTTTATTATTTATTACACCAATTTGTATATTTAAAAAATATTTAAAAAAAATTATATTTAAAATTTCCTATTTGATTAATATTTCATCCGAGGGATCAATAATTTAAAATCGGAATTAAAAATTCAAACATTTTGTTTTTGGTGGCAGAATTAAAAATTGAGAATCTAATTTGAGTTACAAAATTCGCTGCYCACATTATTATAAAGTATGAAATATAAATAACAACAAAGAATTAATTTAAATTTATATTTGTTGTTTTATTTTAGACAATCGTCCATACCATTTTCAAGCTGAAGATGAGGCAGACCAAAAAGCCTGGATGGCAGTTCTGGCTAACTGCAAAGAGAAGGCTTTAGCTAAAGCATTCCAACATGCGAATCCGCAAATGAGTCCAAGTCTTGTGGAACTTCAAAAGACTGTTATACGGTACATTTGTGTTATTTAAATTTTATGCATAACTATTTTTAAACAATATTATTTTCAGATACGTCCAAATGCTACCCGGCAATGATCAGTGTTGCGATTGTGGTTCCCGAAATGATGTCACATGGATCAGTTTAAATTTCGGCATACTCGTTTGCATACAATGCTCGGGTGTGCATCGTGATCTGGGTGTACACCATTCCCGTATACAAAGCCTCACATTAGACAATTTGACCACAGCAAATCTATTAATTGCGCGTGCCATGGGTAATAGTACACTAAATGACATAATGGAAGCCACGTTGGGGAAGGGTAAACTCACACCAGATAGTACAATGTAGGTATTTGCTTTAAAACAGATTTTTTTATTTAAACTATGTATTTTGCTTGTTTTTTAGGGAAGAGCGTTATGATTTCATACGCGCGAAATATGTTGCAAAACGTTATGTGATGCGCACGTGTGCGGACGACAATGAATTGCGTTGTGATCTCGAACAAGCCATTGTCAATGCGGATATTAGTCAACTGTTGCAGGTCTGGGCTGAAGGCGCTGACCTTACATGTTGCCTGCCATCGTCAGATGCGGGCGAGACAGCATTGCATTTGGCTGTGTTGCGTGAAATGATGGGTTCCACATTGCATATTGTCGATTTTCTTATACAGAATATGCCACCAAAGGGTCTTAATAAGTCCACCAACCCGCCAAGTATTATTGACGCGATCGGCAAGAATACCGCATTACATTTGTGTGCACTGCACGATCGTCGTGAATGCATGAAATTGTTGTTACGTTCCGGGGCCGATTACGAACTGCGGAATTCTCAAAATAAAACACCACTCGACATAGCCAAAGAAATGGGTCATAATGCCTGCAAAGAGCTGGTTGGTATTTCAATCGAAATTAAATTTATGTACTATTTATTTTTCTTTTTTACTTTGGTACAGATTGAGTGTGCAATGCGGCGCGAAAAGAGCGCCTTTGATCACATCAACACAGATTGGAATTTGCCAAACGAAGATGGATCTACCGATTTCTCTGATGATGACACAATGGTTGATGAGCGGGTAAAATGAAATTGAGCTGAAATATATAAAGAAAACCACATATTATATATTCCCACTTTCGTTTACACAGAAATCGCGTTCTCGTCCACCTAGCTTTGCTGGCGGCGATTCGCCGGTGTTGCGATCTCGTTCCTCAACTTGTGATTCAATACAAAGCAGTTCTAGTCCAATTGCCAACTGCCCAAGTCGACAGTTCACATTACCGTCCGGTGTACCCACTTACCCACAATCGGCGGGCACWTCGCCAAAGCAGCATGTAGCAATGGGTCAGTATTTAAGTGGTGGTGCCGTTATTGATAGCGTTGGACGTGGTTCCACCAACGCTGGAGGTGGTGGCGGCTCCAGTCCGAGTTCTGCTTCAAGTCAAAGTGGACGAATTTCTAGAAGTATTGCCAGCAGTGARCTRGTRCACATACCAGGCGCTCGTAAGTCAACATCTGCAGGTAATTAAAATTTATAACGAATTTATCAAAATTATATATAATTTGTGTTTAATTATATACATAGCAAATATGAATTCGCTAAAAAAGCGTACAGCACCGGCTCCGCCGCCTGGTGTGACATCAACTGCTAATACAACAACAACCAATTCTATGTATGGCACATTGCCTCATCCACCGCGACATTCTCAAAATTTTGATACAACCGATTTACGAAATCTAAATCATAAAAATCAGTCGATGGATGTGGTATATGGTACACTGCCGCATTTGCGTTCAGTGGATAGCAGCCCACGTATCAGCGGCAGTCATGGTGCCATGCATAGTTTTTACGATCGCTATGATAAGACACAAGTTGTATCCCAAGACCCGAATGGCAGTAGTGGAGGTGGTGGTAATATGATACCAGTTCTCACAACATTTGGTCAYAAACGCTCGCCTAGCGGTGAATCTGTGAATCGTAACATCCACTTGGCTGGCGCAAAATTGGTACTACCGCCTGCGGGTGAAATTCCTCAACTAAAGCACGTTGACAAATCTGCTTTAACACGTCCGAAAATTCCACCGCCAGGACCGCCACAAGGTATATGCACTATTTAAGAAAGTTAAAAAAATACTTTTATGTTTTATCATAGAACGTGATATTTCTAATGGGCAATCAAATGAGAGTATTTGTTCGCTGGAGGATACAGGACCCATTGCGCCACCCAGAAAGGTAAGAAACTATGTTTATTTAGAATAAATTCTGAGCACATTTGTGCATTTTAAAAACTAAAAATGATTCGTCCGGAAAACACCTGTAAGATTTCTTAAAATGTGAAATATCTATATTGTCGAAAAAAAAACAATTTACATTGTTCATAAGTATTTTTTGCATTAGAAAAACCAAATACTCGGAACRTCGTCATTGATATTTTTTTTAAAATAATTTTACGGTTAAAACTACAAATCGTTCATATCATAAAACCTTATTGTAAAAATTTACTAAACAGATATATTTTAAAATCTTCTGTAAAATATACTGAATTAAAAATTATAATCAATTTACAGCGCAAAATAACAAATCTATTGAGAATATCCCAACCAAGTGAAGAGACGGTAAAGAGTTCACAATTTGTTTTAATTAATCTTTATGTCTGTTCTTTTGTTGTTCTTTTTATCTTTTTAAAATTTGTGTATATTTTTGATAAAGTTTTGTCTTCTTGAAAGCGCCTCTCCAATGCCATCAATAATAACAATAAAAACGCAAACTTTTGCTCAGCTTGCGATGCAATAAATACAGTGCGAAAGTAGTTCATCGCTGAACTCTTAAACTCATTCAGCTTGAAGCATATGCTTTGTTTCTACTAAATATTGTGTTTAAAAACAAAAATGAGTTTCAAGTAACTAACTGTTTACCTATGTTTGTTTACACAGCTCATCAACCAATCAATAAACTATAGTGATTACGAGCAATGGCATACAGAATTAGATTCCTCCGTTATTGGCGGCGGCCATGGGGGTGGTGATGGCAACGGCCGTGGTGGCAGTGGCAGTAGCGGTGGTGGCTTAGATAACTCCGCCGACTCTAATCTGTCAAGTGATAATGATCGTATTAGTTCTTCGCCAGACAATCAATTAAAGAGCGGCTCAAGCAACASCGGTGGTGGAAAATTTAATTATGTATGTAGAATTTTGGACATTATAAASTTGATATATTTCATATCTCTCTAACAAACAGAATGGACATCGTCGCTGTCGCGCTTTGTACGATTGCGCTGCTGATAATGATGATGAACTAGAATTCAAGGAAGGAGAGATATTAATCGTGCTCAATGAACGCACAGATGATGAAAATTGGATGGAAGGTGTGATTGAGGGTGATCCCTCACGGCATGGCATGTTTCCAGTTAGTTTTGTGCATATGCTGCCAGATTAAATGGTTACATAATAGGTATACAAAGATTGCGATGGATAATATATCGCAAAGGAATGCCACGCATTATCCCAACGACTTACTCAGTGTAAAAGTGAAGCGAAAGGAAAAGAAAATTGCGGTAAACCTAAGTAATAGTGACGCACAGACCAAAACGTATTATAACTTTATACTAAATGTAATATGGAAACAATAGAAAACTTTAAATATTTCCTTGCTAGATGATAAAGAAAATGCTACTACTACCATTTGCTTAATATATAACACTATTGTCCTGGTGATATGCTAATAATCATAATTATATACTCATAGATATACTCATAAGGAATGCATTAGTTGCGATAGTGTTTATAGCTATAAAATATAAAATACCTATAAAACTTCCACGATGCAAGTGTTGATTATTGAATATATGTGCGGCTATTTATTCATGCGTGCGACACATTTGTTTTACGAAAAAATGCCTAAGAGCGAATTTGAAATAGTTGAATTAGTTATATATTTTTTAAATTGGTTAAATTTTTTAATTGAAGTTAAATAAAAATTCATATTTACGACAAATTAGAAAAAATAATGCTCGATGATTCAATAAATTTCAGACTCAAAACATATCGACATACTGAAAATCATGTATTAAATAGTCATTCAGTTTATCAGCAAGAATCTTGTAGTATTCATATTCGCAATTTTATTTCGCAAATATTTACATTATATTTGAAACGTTAGAATATAAAAGTCGTACATGTTTATAAGATACATTCAACCAATATTTATACGTGTCAACAAAGAATTTTTAAATAAATGTTTAAAGATACTAAAAAGCAAATTTATTGCATCTGTTAGTATTCATGTTGATTCTTATTGTACATTGTCGCTGTTATCAAAGAAATTTATAAGCTTGTCTGCAGAGTGTCTAATATTATTGTGCTGCCATAGCAAGAAAGAAATGTATAATTATAATTAAAATGATAAAAAAAAATAATTTCATTGCTTAACAAAACAGGAGGAGTTAACAATATAAAGACAAATTGGTATGACTTTTGCAGACTATTATCACATACTTCATTATTATAAAAAGAATATATTTTAGTACTGCTTACACAAGTAAATTAATTAAAAGGAATGCATAAGTTAATAAAGTCAAAGCATACAGAAAAGTTTATATAATTAATAAAAAAAAAAATTAAAAACACATTTATGTATTCATAGTATATAACAAAGTTATTCCAACGTTAAAAATGCAAAARTAAAGGAAAATTTATCTTTAATTGTAAAGTATTAGCGATTAGAAACAAATTCATATAAAAAATCAAATCAAAACTGTTGTACCTACAGTTGTGTATCGAAATTGTAAAGATATATGTAGAAAACTATAGATTGTATAATAATTATGATTTAGGTTCTATTTACATATATTTATAATTTTTTATCTGCATAATGCATCTCATGTGTATGATTTACCTTTATATGCTTTATATTTTCTCTAAATGGTTTTGAAACAAATTGTTGTTAGATATTTTTGTACTATATTTTACATAGGTTGTCAGCGGCGTTTTTTAGGTTCTGACAATATATTTTATATATTTCCTTTTCATATTCCTTGCATTTGTAGGTACGTATATGTACATATCCACAGAATGTGTATTATACTTATACTCGCTTCAGTATTCATCAACTGTAATCATTACTATTAGCACTATTATATTACAGCGACTATCAAAAAATGAAATCTTCAAAGTTACTGTCTGTATACAAAACAATAAACTAAAAGTATCATTATATAATAATTTAATTTATATTTTAATAGATCAATAATATATTTATATATTTTACTAAGCGAAACATACACAATGACAACTAAGTACWCTGTTTATTATGTCACAAATATTGTAATTAAAGGTTGTTATTGTGTTGTCTGCATGTTTGTATATTTATCCCAAAGTCATACTCACACTATATTCAGTAATGTACTCTATATTTATTATCAATTCTATTTTTTAATTATTGAATAAATGTAGAAGAAGTAAGTTGTTCGATGTCCAACAAAATTGTTAGGAGGTTAAACCAACATTTAACAACCACAGACGTTTTTGTGTACACATACATATTTGTATATATTTTCCTTGCCCTTTGAATAGTTTTTAATAGTTACTAGCTGTGGTAAGGTTATATGAAAATAAAGTTAAAGTACATATGGATATGAACAAAACATTAAATAAACAAATGGTTGAATTATCATGATCTAAATGAATTCGTGTTTTATTGCAAGTAGTGGGCGTAAGGAGCATGCCTTTTAATAATTTATTACAATTTGGCAATAATTTTTTGTTATTTATAATTTATAATAACGTTCGCTTAAATTTTTTTTTGTATCTATTTGAATTTTGGTTTAACTTTTTCCAAAATTAATTAAAATCGATAATATGAGATTCGATTTACTAGAACTAATAAAATTGATAAAACCATATATTTATATTTTATAAATAAATAGGATGTCATAATTTGAATAAAAAAAAAACGTTTATCAGCACTGTTAAAGAACGTCAGCTGAAAGGTGTCTGTAGTTAAGAAGAATAAGAACTAATGCCGCGCTACTCTAGTCATAAACATTATTATGCTGCCATCCAGTTAGAATTATGAACATTAAAATTCGAACCGAAAAAGAATCAATCATTTTAAGTATACTGAAATACAGTACAGTAAGCAGTAGTATCATGGGTAAATGTTCAGGAGAGCGGCTTTTCCGAAAACGTACACCAATTTTCACGGGAAATGTCTTAAAATTCGTGTTTTTAATTCCGATTTACGATGCACTTTTTCGGAAAAGCCGCTCTCCTGAACATTTACCGTATCATGATTTGACAAATGATGTCCCATTTAAAATAAATAATATTTTATTTTCAAATGCCATTGAGTGCATTACATAAAATTTGGTATTGTGCTTGTTTTTGTTAGTCTGGCAGCGATGGCATCGACATCAAAAGCAGCAGCAGCAGCAGCACTAGCAGCGGTAGTGATTGAAAGAAAATAAAGACATATTTTGCAATTGGATTTTCGACGTTATAATATAAATAATAGATGTTTTGTATATGGTTTAAATTAATCTGAAAGATTTTGAAGTGTGTTTACAGTATTGTGAGTGGTACTACAAAATTTTGCTACACGTTTTTCATATGAAAAACTTAGGGTGGTAATCCGTACGATATACGACGGCAATCAGGCATCCAGCTGAAGTATCACCATCCATTTGCGAACGTCAGAGTAGTAGTAGAAGCGTAAAGTTATATCGAAGGTGAGAAAAATTCGCCAATGCGGAAGCAAATGAAATAAAATTATTTGTAACCCAGGCAACTTTACATCGTTTCGATATGATGTAAAAATTTTTTTATATTACATTTGATACCTGCTGTTTGTTTATTTATAATCCGTATTGATATTTCCAGGTTTTTTCGTGTCCAGAGCTTTATTTGACTTGTATTTAAAGTGGTGATAGTTTCTTGAAAAAAAAAAAAACAAACAGTAATAGTAGGGCTGTAAATACCGCCGTCACCATTAGCGCCGCTGGTGCATTGCGGAGAGCGAACTATGAGCGCCGCTAAAAAATACAAACTTATGGACACAAATGACCAATTGCAGGATACTGAGAATTACACAAGCAATCGTTTAAGAAAACAAGGGGAAAGTAATTTTTATAGTCCCTCCACTTCGGCTCGTTGTGCTTTGGGACAAAATTTGAATCAACCTTCGGCAACGTCAACTTCACAACTACCGTTCAACATGAACAATAGCAATAGCAATTATGGCATCGGTAACAATACCAATGGTGAAAGACGTGCCAATTTTTCGATGTTAGATGGGGCACATATGAACGATCATCGTTCAGCCACAACTACCTCAGCGTACTTCAATAAGATGGGCGCAAATAATGCCTCAAAACCGGGAGATGTTAAAAAAATTGTAATAAAAAACTTCAAGAGTAAGTTAATGAAATTTAAAAAATGTATGCTTGATGCTCATAAATACAAATAATTTTGGTTTATATAAATAGTGAAGCCTACACTGCCGGACAATTATTCGGAACATACATGTGAAAAATTGCAAGAAGCAGTTGTTGCAATTCAACAATCAAAGCCAATTAGGTACTCATTGGAAGAACTTTATCAAGCTGTAGAAAATATGTGCAGTCATAGGATGGACGCGCAGTTATATGGAAAACTTAGAGAACTTACTGAAGCTCATGTGAAGCGCAATGTCGAATCCTTTACAGGGGGAAGCATGGACAAATTGGTAAATATAAAATGTTATTATTAATTATATTTTATGTAACATTTTGTCTTGTTAGGTATTCTTAAAAAAGATAAATGGTTGGTGGCTATCGTTTTGTCAGCAAATGATTATGATGCGCAGTATATTTTTATATTTGGATCGGACTTATGTTTTACAGAATCCTACCGTACATTCAATTTGGTGAGTGGCAAAATCAATTGAAAATTATTATGCATTTATATTTTCTTTACGTTTTTGACCAATAGGGACATGGGTCTGGATCTTTTTCGAACTCATATAGCCATGAACGATCAAGTRCAAAAACGTACGGTGGAAGGTATACTTATGTTAATCGAAAAAGAGCGAACAGGCGATGCGATAGATAGGGGATTGCTCAAGAGCCTTGTTCGAATGTTATGTGATTTACAAATTTATATTAGTGCATTCGAAGATAAATTCCTCATTGCAACAAAACAATTATACCAAGCCGAGGGACAACGTAAAATGCAAGAGCTTGATGTGCCCGAATATCTGCGCCATGTTGACAAAAGATTAGCAGAGGAAAACGAACGTCTTTTGCACTATCTAGACTCTAGTACTAAGTAAATTGTTTGATTGCTATTTAAAATGGTGATCTTGATTTGTTATTGTTTCAATTTCAGATACCCATTGATTTATACTGTAGAAAAGGAGTTACTCGCTGAACACCTCACACACATCTTACAAAAAGGTCTGGACACACTGCTGGAGGAGAATAGACTGAGTGACCTCACGCTCTTGTACAGCCTTTTAAGCCGAGTCAAAAACGGTACCGCCGAACTGTGTGGCAACTTCAATGGCTTTATTAAGGTAGAACTTTAAATTATTAAATTAAAATAGTTCATTAAATTCCTTCAATTGAATTTTGTAGAAAAAAGGACGCACTATTGTTATTGATCCGGAAAAGGATAAAAGTATGGTGCAGGATTTATTGGACTTTAAAGACAAAATGGATGTGATTGTGCGCAATTGTTTTGAACACAATGAAAAATTTACGAATTCCTTGCGAGAGGCTTTTGAGTTCTTCATAAATCAACGCGCCAATAAACCAGCCGAATTAATAGGTATGTTTTAGAGCTATAATTTYTTCCAAGTAATAATATTGTGAGTATTTAATGCTACTAATATTAGCCAAATATGTGGATATGAAGCTGCGTGCTGGWAATAAAGAAGCCACCGAAGAAGAGTTGGAACAGATACTTGATAAGATCATGGTGCTATTTCGATTTATTCACGGCAAAGATGTATTCGAGGCATTTTATAAGAAGGTAAATAAACACAACCAACAAGGCTTACGGTTTTCTTATTTTACTAATATAATTTTTAGGATTTGGCCAAACGTTTACTTGTGGGAAAGTCTGCGTCGGTGGATGCGGAAAAGAGTATGTTGTCCAAATTGAAGCAAGAGTGTGGTGGTGGATTCACTTCAAAATTGGAAGGCATGTTTAAGGATATGGAACTGAGCCGAGATATTAATATTGCTTTTAAGCAATATGTCGCAAATATGGATCGTGAAATAACAAGTATGGATTTGACTGTCAATATTCTTACCATGGGCTATTGGCCTACTTACCCGCTAACAGAAGTCACTATGCCACCACAACTTGTGAAGCCGCAACAAGTTTTCAATAAATTTTACTTGGCTAAGCACAGTGGGAGAAAGCTGCAATGGCAGCCTACACTAGGCAATTGTGTGCTCAAAGCTCAGTTTGATGCGGTATGCGATGTTTTATTAAATGTGTAACAATAATTAGTTTTCTCTTTTCTGTTTAAAAAGGGGCCTAAAGAATTGCTGGTTTCATTGTTTCAAGGGCTTGTGCTGTTACTGTTCAACGACAAAAACGCACTAAGTTTCGAGGAAATCGTTGCTGCTACAAATATTGAGGTAACACACAATTTTATAGTCTAAGTGGAAGCTAAAATATATTCTTCCTTTTAAAAGGATGGCGAGCTACGTAGAACATTACAGTCATTAGCCTGCGGACGCGCGCGTGTTATTACTAAAACACCAAAGGGTCGTGAGGTTGAGAATAAAGATTTGTTCCAGTATAATAACGAATTTACCAATAAATTGTTCCGTATCAAAATTAATCAAATTCAAATGAAAGAAACGGTATGGMAAATTTTTTACGTTTGATAAACCAATTATTTTGTTATTTATTTCTATTTTTAATTTTAGACGGAGGAGCAAAAAGCTACAGAGGAGCGTGTATTCCAAGACCGACAGTACCAAATTGATGCAGCCATTGTGAGGATAATGAAAATGCGTAAAACGCTTAGTCATAACTTACTAATCGGTGAACTTTTCAATCAACTTACGTTTCCCGTTAAGGTAATAAGCAAACATTCGCTTAAATACTATTGATAGCTAATTATTTATGACCACTTCTCAATAAATCTTTTTCCCATTTATATCTCTCCAGCCTGCTGATTTGAAAAAACGGATTGAATCACTTATAGATCGCGATTATATGGAGCGCGATAAAGATAATCAAAATCAATATAATTACGTTGCATAAATTATAATTTATAAGGCTACTTACAGCAGTTGGAAACGTTCAGAAGCGCGCCCATTTTCCATGATGTCCATTTTAGGAGTATACTCTATTTCATTTAAAATTGAAAATCAAAGCAACACATCATACACATCATATTCTGCTTTACGATCAGTTCCAACCTCTTTGCTTACGTATAATGGAATCATCTGCGTCTCCGGCCTAAATAAATTCAACATAACAACAATTTTCAATCGAGCTAGGTGTGCAACAAAGTTCTATGCTCTAGCTTAATTTGGATCTGTGAGTAAGGACTGATTTGCACAATATATGAATATGCAGAAAAGAAGCAGAAGTTAAACCCCAAGAAACAGTGTCCGTTCGTCGTATAAATAATTCAATTACAAACATATATCTATTAGTTTTCTTTTATAACTTCTGGTATAATGCAACTGTGTTTAATATAAATACCGATTAAAATTAAGTAATTTCTTATGTATGTTCCCAGGTAGACACATGTTGCTAAACGGCTTCTCTTGAAATCTAACTTTAGTGCAGTGCAGAGAAGTTGTAATTATACAAACGACATGCTAGAAAATTTGCGAAAAAAAAGATATTTTTTAACATTTTGAATGTGAAATAAGTGGGGGAAAGTAAGTAGATGCTTATGCGTAGATATGTTTAGTGTTAAATGAGTTAATATAATTCGAATGAACGCGATGGTTGGAGAAATAAAAACTTGTTCTCTTTTTATAATTTAAATCGTAGTGTATTACATATAATAATAAATACGGAGAAAAAACTATACATAAATGTAATTTTAATAATAAAAGTTTTCAGAACGTGAATATTTGATTTATGCTAATGTATTTAGTTGAAGACTTAAAAGTGGAGCAGCTTTCGAGGACAACTTTTTTATTTCACGAGGTACCTTCATGTTATTTGACAGGGATTATTTTTAAAGGCAACGGTACAATACCCGAAGGAATTGTTCAATTCGGACCACTGTATCATATAGCTGTCATACAAACGAGCTGATCAAATTTCAGTTTTTGTATGGAAAACTTTTTACTTGTGAAGGGTATTAAAACTTCGGTGCAACTGAAGTCAACCCTTTTTTGTTATTAAGTTATTTTTATTATAACTTTCACTAAGATATTTATTTAATTTGTTGTATTTATTAGTGTCTGTAAATAAAACTCCTAGATAGATATTCACTTCCTTCTWTAAAAATTTGCGAAAACTAATTTAAATTAACATTCAGAAATTATAACTTCCAAATTAAAGTTTAAAACCAACTTTTTTTTAAAGATGTTTATGCATATTTATGTTTAAATGTACTATTTAATAATTATTTATTTACAAAAAAATTAGTTGTACAATTGTATTTAGTTTATCAATGTCACAGAAAAGATGGCTGGTAACCTTAATATAACCTAACAAATTTCTTTTGATAATAGCACATACCACACTGGTCGCCGGTCAGTGAAATTCACGTACTACTGCTTACTATTACATTGTAAATTACTGTAAATACAAATGGATGGTATTAATTTGTTTACACAATTCGTGGTCCAACACAAACCACAATTGGAATCGTCTGGTGTGCCACAACATCTTTGGAAATCGTTGCATCGTAAATTGGTAAAGGAAATTTTTGATGCCGGCATATCGCTGCAATTACTGTTGATTGATTACGAAGGAGATGAAGAGAATGGCTCAGAAGCACCAGTTGTTAGTGCAAGCAACACAACAACGTCAGTCGCAGAGGAACCGCGTCCAATGTTTGCCCTTACGATAGCTCGTGAAGGTGGAATTAAGGCCGCCGATCCRGATTCTATATATCTCATTGATCACGCCTGGACATTCCGTATGAATATGGCTAGACAGCAACTAGCAGAACATGAGCAGTTAGCGGATCGTATGTGTGCCATAATGGGTGTCGATATTGATGACGAAGATCGTATTGATCAAGTCTTGGTTAAAATGTGGCGTTATTGTTTTTCATATACTATAGCCAGTAATGGTCTATCTGATGAAGAACGACTTCCTATTTGGTATGTGATGGATGAAGTTGGTTCCGCCGTAAGCCACTCGGACGATCCTAATTTTCGTGTCGTTCCGTTTCTATATCTAAATAACCAAACAACATATAGCCTACTTTTTCCCATACGTGATTGTGATTATGAAGAATATGTAACGCGTGATTTTGTAGAATATGTGAGCAGAGATAATGAAGAACGCGAAGCTTTATTATTGCCATGGCGTGCTACTGATCTACGTGAACACTCTTTTATGCAATTTGAACCTGAGTCAGAATACTTTTCCAGAGGTCATATACCTGAAACATTCCCTGAAGGAGACACTGCTCTATTAAAACCTCAAGTAAATCGTAATCAACCACTAAAGGTTTATAGTGAATATGAAGTGGTAAGCGCACATTTGACCGATCCTTGTTTTCAATTAGTTGGCAATCAATCCGAGGCTGATGTGCTTTGGTTGACACATCACTATAAGGAGTTTGCGGAATTAGCCKTTAATACGCCGAATAAGTTTATAAATCAATTCCCTTATGAATATGTTTTGACAATCAAAGATTTGCTGGCAATTACGGGGAGGCGTGTTGCACAGGAACATCACAATCCTTCTACATTGGAGACATATCCTCSCTGGCTGCCAACAACATTTAACTTAAAGACGGAATTGCTACAATTTGCATCATATTATCAACATCGTGTTGCAAAAGGTCTTGATAATCACTGGATTGTGAAACCATGGAATTTAGCGCGTGGAATGGACACCCATATAACTGAYAATATTGTACAAATTGTGCGACTGCCAATAACTGGACCGAAAGTCGCCCAAAAATACATCGAACGGCCGGTATTATTTAAACGTACTGAACTAGACGCTGAGGTAAAATTGTATTGCATATAATTTAATTTCTTACTATTAACTTCTACATTTTTTAAAGGTTAAATTTGATATACGATATGTGATATTGGTTAAAAGCTTTCAACCACTGGAAGCTTATATACATAGAAAATTCTTTCTACGATTTGCTAATAAGTCATTTAGTCTAAATAACTTTGATGACTATGAACAACACTTCACTGTAATGAATTATCATGAAGAGGCAGAGTTGCGACACATAAAATGTGAAGACTTCTTGGGTTATTGGAAGGAGCAGTATCCAAGACATGATTGGTCAACAATTCAAAAAGACATATGTTTGATGTTACATGAGATACTAGCTTGTGCATCCAAGCGCCCGCCTCCATGTGGTATACCGCCTTGTCAACAATCTCGTGCATTATATGCGGTCGACATAATGCTTGAATGGGAAAAATCAGATGATGATAAAACTTGTCAAATGACGCCTAAATTGTTGGAGATCAACTGGACACCGGATTGTAAGCGTGCATGTGATTACTATCCAGATTTCTTTAATGATATTTTCAAATTACTCTTTCTCGATGAGACCAATAATGAAAGTTTTCTGCAATTGGAAGCGAGCTCTTAGCTACGCTTAATAAACTGCTTAAAGGTTCAAAGTATTTATAATAAATTTATTTAAATAAAAAATAAAGGGCAGCAGAATAAGTAAAAATAAATAAAAGTTTTATGAAGTAATAAAGTGAGATAGGAAAATTTTAAACTCTGGATTTCTGCATTAATATTTCTAATTATAAGTTATATGTAATAGAAAATTCAAAAAATTCCAAAAGGTGTTAATAAATATTCATAAATATACTTATAAGGGTTAAGAAAATAGGTAAATAAAAAATGCAACTCAAAAATGCATTCCAGTTTATTTTTCTGACTTTCACTGAACATACATTTTAGACATTTGAAGAGAATTTGCGAAAACGAAAAATTTGACATATGTGATTTTTCTTTGTTGGTATTAATTTATTTTGTGTGGTTGAAGTTGAAAATTATTTTGTGAAATATTTGCGAATATGCATATTAATTGCTACTAGGTAACACATAATAAGGAACAAAAGTTATATTAGATTTATCCTAAAATATCTACAGTTTTACCCGATAAAGTGGTGGTAGGTAATCTCTTTTCCGTAACGTATGCAAATGAAATGTCACTACAACTGTGCTCTATGTTTATTTTTCCACAATAGTGCTTATATATGTATGTAGATATACTATGGTGTGAAATTTCTAAAGACACAATTGAATAAACAACAATTAATATATGTACATTAGAGTGAAGTACGAGTATTACTTTGATCCATCTTATTGACCTACTAGACTACACTCAAAGAAATAAAAATGAGTCAGTTTCCTACTACGTCATGGAGTAGGATGTGTGTACAAACATACATATGTATCGGTGGCAAAATATAGTGAAATTATGCTTATCAGTGTTAGTACAAAAAAAGTAAATAAAATATAATGAACACATTGAGCAGAAAGGTACAATATTGTTATAAAATGGTTAACATTGTTTTTGTCGCACTTAGTTCCATTAAATTTGTCATGATTGTTTATATTTGCATAAAAATTGATATGTATGGATTGAACGAAAATCGGCATCAAACAACTTTGTCCTTAATGAAGATTTGTATTTGTTCATATTATTCTGTATATCGATTGCATGGGATTTAAAAAACTATAGTATTGTGCCAAGTAGTATAAAAATATAAACAATAACATATGTATATTGCATCTTATAACTGCTTAAATTTGTATTTTCAGGAACAGTAGAGTATGTATCGAAAGTTWTTATAGATATTAATTTTTTACATACCCAATTCATATTGAAAATCACATACGGCCATATAAGCACTAGTAAATGTAGACTATGTCAGTTAGTGATGCCGATGAAATACGATCAGCTGCTGAATTGCTGATAACAAGCTCTAGACACCCTATGGCCTATCGCAGTACAATGAGTGGGCCAATGTCCCCCAACTATGATATGTGTAAGTATTTTATAAATTTTGATTTTTAAGCGTCTTAGAATTCAAATTACATAAAAGAAAAAATTTTCTGGAAAAAAAACGATGTCAAAACACACTGATTAAACATTTAGTATGTAAATTTTTTATCGTTAAGTTCTTTATTGGTGTTTACCATCAATATCACACTTTAATATTGATATTCTATTTGAAATAATAAAAAAAATATACATTGAAGTTAATTTATTTACAGCACGTACACATTCCATCAATTTGATCACCGAAGAATTTCTCGGCGGTTATATGCAGGATGGACGCATGTCCGTGGTACGTCGGTTTTTCTGTCTCTTCGTGCTGTTCGACTTATTTTTCGTATCGTTACTGTGGTTAATATGCATAATGGTAAGTTGGTTTATGAGAACTTAAGAGGATAAATAACTATTAATATTCATGCGTTTTATTTTAGATCAATGGCGACAATATATTTCAAGCATTTCAGAAACAAATCGTCCATTACACTTTTGGCACGTCGTTATTCGATGTAGTTGGAGCCGCCATTCTCCGTTTTGTAGTACTCACATTTTTCTATGCGTTAATGTACATAAACCATTGGATTATAATTGCAGTGAGTAAACCTCAAAGTATACATATGTACAAAGTTTTAGAGTAATTGTATGTTCATAAATATTGTATTATTAACTTTTTTATATGAGTTCAGTTGAATTTATTACAACGTCAGGAAAATTGATGGTGTATTATAATCAAAGAACTACTTTGTATAAAAAAGATCGCAGTTTAAGAAACTTTTTCGTTATATTTAGATCAGGGTATATTAAGTTTGCCACGAAGTAGTTTAGCCATGCCCGGGAACTGATTCCACAATTTTTGAAATTTCGATCTGAAAGTTTTGACACATATTTTATAACTCAAGCAGCTTCAATTGTCGAAAACGTCGATATAGCTGCCATACAAACAGATCGATGAAAAACAAGTTCTTGGATAAAAACCATACCAATTTTGATCAAGATCCTTTATATACACTTGCGATATAAAATGCACGTCTGTAGGATATTATAGATTTGGTTCAACCAAAGTTATCTTTTTTTTCTTGTTTTTGGCTTTTTAAATTTTTTTAATTACTGTGAGCGTGACAAAATTATATTCACTTTATAAAATATGCTCATACATAATAAAGTTGCTTTTCCTGATCACCCTACGAATGTACATACATACAAACATRTGCATAACATCTAACATTTATCAGTATATAAGTGCACTAAAGAAAATAAGTGCATACCACCATACAAGTGCATGTGCACATCAGAACGAGTATATCGCTAAGATATTTTCCATAAATTATTAAACTTTTAGCTTATATACTTCACTTGTGTATTGCAGTTATCTACGAGTGGTTCATGCCTATTTTTAATCTCCAAAGTCTTCGTTTATGATGTAAGTCAAACATTCAATATTTGTGCATATTATATTTTATAACTGTAATTAATAAAATGAATATTAATTAATGAATAATTGCATACATGCACACTTTTGTAGTGGGTTGATTCGCGCCAACAAGTTTTCGAGGTGATACTGATTATAACATCATTTGTATTGGCTTGGGGAGAGGCTTGGTTTCTGGATTGTCGCGTTATACCACAAGAGCGCCACGCGCGCAGCTATTTTTCCTGTAAGTGCAAAAATACATATTTTTTTATATTTCTTTTACACATTTGTTATACATATTATAAAATTTTAATTTTATTTTGCTGCAGCAATAACAACTCCAGAACAGCGTTCGCCGATGATGGCACCATTTTTGGCTTCCCAACCGGGTCGTAATGTGCCGGAGAGTATTTTTTATTCACCACTAGAAACAGTGCACAACAGTGATGACGAAGATGAACAGGTAACTTTGTAAGACTCTGTGAGAATTGTGTGGGCGTTTTATATTCTTACTATGCACACATGTTTATATACACACACATAAATATATATATTTTAAGTAAAATGATTGAAGTCACTTTCGAACTACTTAATAGTTCAATTGAATCAAGGTCAATACCAGCATTGATGTAGACTGTGATAACGGCATCAATTAGCTCTTTGTTTTGCTTATCGGATTTGCATAGCGTTCTCTTTTCGCTTGTATAATTGTACTTCTTAGAATAGCAAAGTGCTCTGATTTATTCCAAATAATCAGTAAGCGACTATAAATCCCCAAAGGCAGGCATCAAAATTCAGTTGCATTTTAAATTAGGGATATTCAAATATAAAATTCGAATTGAAGTTGTGACCGCAAAAAATACTCAAATATTTGCATTTTCAATATAACCTATAAAATGAAGTTTCTTTTTAAACACACACCAAATGTCGTTTGTGGCTTTGGCATTGAAGTCATAAAACGACAATTTTCTCACAACTCTGTTAACATGCAACAGGTTAACACACTATATCTACAGCTGAAGATTATATTTTCATATCAGATTATCATTTCATAAAAATTTTCTCATACAGGATGAAGAATATCATCAAATGGCTTTGGACTGTGTGCATAGAGCGTACGAACTTTTCGAATCGCCCGATTGGAAAGTGGAAAAGGTGACAAGCAAAGGTGATACTATACGTAGTACTCAACGTGAGAAGCTGGGAAAAATTTACCGACTTACAGTAAGTTTTTAGAACGATATTTTAACTTTTTTCTTTCTTTAAGCGAATTTTTAATTTTAAGTTTTCATTTTGAAATTTTAGTTTGTAATACCAATATTTTGCAACATTCTGAAAACTAACTTTCAAAAAAATTCTTAATCCAAGATGTTTGTGATTAAATACCGATTTTTTTAATTCAAAATGTTTGATATTGAAAAATGATAATTTTGATTTTTGATTCAATAATAAAAAATCCAAGATGTTAGGTAATAAAAATAAATTTTTTATTATTTAAAAATTGGAGAAACTTTTAAAATGAAAATGGAATAAAAAGGGACAAAAAAGAAAGATTTACATGTTTTTGACTGGGTACTATAATAAAAATCAAAATAAATATAAATAACATAAAATGTGTGTAAATTTCAATAAAAAAACAAATTTCATTTTTATTTAATTTTTTTTTTTGATTTGTAATTATAACTGATATTTTTGAACTTTTTTTTTTTTAATCCGGTATTTGGGTTTAAAAACAATTTTCAATTAAGACTTTCGGGTCTATAAAGTAAAAAGAATCAAAAGTTTATTTAATGATTTATTTAATGAATTATTACCAACCCTGATGAAAAGACATTTATTATAATTTGCATGTCACCAACATATACTATATAAAAGTGTAATAATTTCAATATTTCTTAAGGGACGTATCAAGTATCCAGCCAAGGCATTATTAGAAGAACTCTTCTATAGAATTGAAAGCGTGCCTAAGTGGAATCCAACTTTACTGGAATCGAAAATTGTGCATGTAAGTGGGTTTACTCATAGATACACTAGTTTATTCTATACCTAACAAAACAATAATTTGTTTCTGAAGAAAATCAACTCCTACACAGATATTACATACCAAGCCAGTGTGGGCGGTGGCGGTGGTATAGTAAAGAGTCGCGATTTCATTAATTTGCGTTGTTGGCGACTCTTCCGTAATGGTAAAATGTGTGAAGAATCCGATAATGACGATGACGTCGATAGTGGCAGTGATACGGCTGGTCCGGCTAGTGTTTCCACCGTCTCCGATGATGACTCTGTAACGACTACACAACCCAGCAGTGTCGAAAGCAATCGTGCGAAATTCTCCAGCAGTAGCAGTGTAAAGGGTATCCGTGAAAGCGCTGGCGTTGATGAAGAAAACCGCAGTGGTAGCGCAACGGGTGCAAGTGGTGGTCCTGCTTTTAAAACATTAAGCAAAAGTTTGGGTGCTAAAGATTTCAGCACGATTGTGCGTATTGATCCAGATGAACCGCCACCATTCGAAGAGGACACATTCGAGGATGCGCATGATAATGTTGATGATTTGACGCGTCTAGTGCAGAAAGAGGCACGTGCGGAAATGCAAACTGCACAACAGGAAACTGCTGATACTGGCGATGGTGCAGCCGTAAGCGGTGCGATGGGGGCGAAGGGCAGCAAAAATAAAGTATATTTGAGTGCGGCCATTAGTATTGATTATGCGCCGGTGCCGCCCACTACGAAGTATGTACGGTGAGTAAGAAAAATTTGTTAAATGGCTTTTTGTGATGAAATCACAAAATCAACAAACGAACTATGAAATATAAAATAGATTTACAAAATTACAATACAATTATATATTCTCTCGTATTTTTCGATCTATCAAAGTGGTGACAATATTGTCGCCGGATTTGCACTTCATGAGATTGCTGGTAAATCGGATGCTTGCATATTCGATTGGATTCTGTGTTTGGACTTAAAGGGTTTCATACCACGTTATGTTTTAGACACTGTAAGTCTGCTAAACCTTTCAACTATTACTTATCTACACGGTTATGTTGCAATTTTTGACTCCCCACTTTTGCTTTGCAGGCCTACACTACTTTCATGAATGACTATATGAAATATCTACGTAAATATGTAGTTGAATTGCGCACAAAACGTAAACTTACGTCTAGAAAATAGCCGAAGTTAAATATGATCGACAACAAGAACATGGTCGACATATAGCTGCTAACAAAAGCGGGTATTATGAAATAGTAAATAAGGTTTTGTAGCTTTAGTTTCCATTATGTGTGTGTAGAATGTATTTTTTTACAATAAAGTGCACAAACATTTTCATTTATACCAACAAACCCAAAAAAAAAAAAAAGAAAAGTAACCACATCCTAAAACCAATATAGTAATATAAAAGTGTTTAAAAAAATCTAAAACTATTTATAATTGTAAAAGTTTTACAGATTAACTGTTACTATGTAAAATTGAACAAAGCTACATATTTAATGTTGCCCAAGGCTTTGCTAACTAATTATTATAAAATTGAAAAGTTGAATATTTTTTTACATGATTAGTACACATATACATATTTATATAGTTAGGTTAGAGCAAAGTTTCCAAGCTCCGCTATACTCATATAAAAAAAATCATTTCATTCAAATAACCGTGCGTGATTTCTTCTTGTGTTTGTGTGGCACGTAAAAATTAATCGTTTTTTTTAATATTTCATGACATTAAGTGATAGTATACAATTTGTAAACATTAAACAGTAAATATAATGTAACAAATATAAAACAATAATCAAAATTAAATGGACTGATGAATGATAAATTTCTGATGCTAATTAATAATGGCTGTTCTGTTATTGGTTTATATACGTATGTGTTTACGGAAATAAATATATCCATATATCTGATTGAAAATGCTAAAAAAATGAGTTCGTTGAGTCGGAATATAAAAACCGCTTCGTTTCAGTTACGAATATTCGATTATTATTCATTTATTACTATGTTATTGTTGTAGTAGCAGAGAATAACCCTGCAGGAATGCCTACGAGCTTGCAGTTCTTGAATGGATAAAATTTCGCATCCGTTCCGGTTACGTACACCCGATCGTTGGAAATTTTGAGCTGTCAAATGAACATAATGCTTCGTCAGGTTTTAATTTTTTGTTTCTTTTGGTATCGTAATATACACCAAATAGCTTACTTAGTTGTCTTCGATTCCCCATTTTTCTGCCCGCTTTTGCTCGCTTGCCAAATATTACATGTAAAAAGAAAAACAGTTGAACCTAGTACCTGAGTGTATTTCGCTATACATTGTGACAAAAAAAGGTATCCGGAAACTGTAATGTAAATTTCCAGGTAAATGATATTTCAAAAAAATGTATATTGGTAAGTTAGTAGGACTATCCTTAAATATTATGTCAATATGAGCGCTATCTGTTGTTGTAGTGGCAAAATTCTGCCTAATTGACAGAACTTGACCGTATAAAAATCTGGGTCTATTCCGGTTACGAAGACCCTGTAGTGGGAACGGGGCGCGATCTATYAACCAGTTTGTTTACAGCAGTTGCTTAAGTCTGTACACTTCAATAGTTCGTTGGRATTTTTACAATGGATAAAAATATCGAACAAAGAATTTGTCTCAAATTTTGTATTTCTAATAAAATTTCGTGTGCAAATGTTGGAAAGGCTTATGGTGACTARGTTTTATCAAAAACACACGCCTACGAGTGGACCAAAGCCTTCAAAGACGGTCGAGAGTTCTCTGAAAACATGCCTGGTTCTGGATCTTTACAATTGATAAAAAAAAAAGAATAAAAATAAAAACATTAAAGAAAATGGTGCTAGAAAACCGTCAGGCATATGTTAAAGAGTTGGCAAGAGAGGCATCGACATCTCTCGCGAGTCTGTTGGATTGATTTCTGTGAATATTTTGTATGAAACGCGTTCTTGCTCGCGTTGTCCTAATAAAGCTGATTATTTTTTTTTTTTCAAAAGGAGTAACGTAAACAGATCTCTTCTGACATGCTTGATCGTGCGAATTCCGATTCCACATTCTTGGAGAGCATTATAACTGCCGGTGAGACACGAGCATGCAAAAACGGAGTTCTATTGGCACCTAATTCTTTGCATCCCCAAATCTTGTCTCTGGCGACTTTTATTACGGGAAAAAATTTAATGAGTTTACATGAAATGGATTTACAGCTGCGGATTCATAAAAATGCTGTAAACTTGTTTTGAAGAATCTTCTTTATCACGAACACAAATATTTAAGAGGCATAAGGCTTTCAGTGAAGGTTGTGAAGTTATMGAAAACTTCTCTCAACTCGTCCAKCCACCTCTRTTAATGGCCATAACATACAAATGTTGAAGAAACAGTGTTTGAAAATTTCCCTTGTTGACATCAAAAAGATAGCAGCGGATCTCTATATCTCTTATGGATCGACTCAATGATTACGGCTAATGGTTTGTGTCTGAAGTATGTCAATGCTAGACTAGACAGTATCARAAGAACTGAATGTTTTGCAAAAACGGAGTAAAGATAATTAAAGTTGTTTGTCATCTCCAAACTTTTCCTAGCAAAAAACTGTGTTTTCGTTAGCTATTGCCATCTAGAGGATATCGCTTTTGAGATCTTTTAGACATAAGTTGTCATAAACTGATATCGATTCCTTCATAAAGAACAACCCTAATGTACAAATCACAATAATTAAGAGGACTCAGACTAACAACCACAACTTAGTTAAGAATACCACTTTCTTACATTTTGTTTCTGCTTTACTGAGCATTTGCTTTATTGAATAAATAATTTTTATAACATTATTACTGAAATATATATATATATGTAAATTATTTAATTTTTATGTACATATATGCGTAGAAATGTATTAAAGCCACGTTTATATTAATTTTACTTAATTTTAGATATAAATATAGAATATCGTTGGGTTTCCGGCGCTTTATTTATGGCTTTCGGTCCGCACCCCTGGAGTTGGCTTATTTGCTTTCGCCTTGTGGAAACCATGATTGACACGCTTCCAATGCAATTTCGCACATTGCTGTGACAGCTTTGGCATTATCATATTCTGAAAGAAGAAGWTGAGTCAAAATTATATAGCCTGAGAATAATTTAAATTCAGAGTCAAAAGCTTTACTTACCCAAGGAGTTGCGTTTGCCAAAGATGCTGCCATTGAATGGTGGCTTCCTGTAGGCCGCCTCGCCGAAGCTGCACATGCAGACGGCCAAGATCAAGGCTACGAAACATACAGTACAGAATGAACGCATTTTATATGTGATAGTAAATGTAGTGGCGGTTGCTTAGTAGCTTCTTGTGCTTTTGGCAGTGATGCGTTTGCTTTTAACTTGCTTGCTGTAATGCTCGAATGCAACTGATGTCGATTGCTGGCATAGTTGGCGCTTTTATACGATTTCGTGGAAAGACAGGACAAAAAGGACTGCTCGTTCTTACAGCTATATCTTCATAGTCCTATCAGTTAATAATTGCTTTRTTTTAGTTTCTAATTAATGTGTGAACTCCCTAAGGTACTTGAGCGATGGCAAGCTTTAGTCGATGTTGATTAAATATTAATTGAATATTCATATATCTACGTATAGATTTCCACCACAGCTAGGTACATACTCCTCTTTAAGTTAAGTGAATTTTGAGTGCGTTAATATCTGCGTGTACAACACGGTTGCGATTATTTTGTAGTACGATTGATCCTTTTTTCAAAATAGTCTCGGTAATTATTCACAGATGGTATTTTCTTGTGGCCTTTGGTGAATACAGTGAATATAGAAGCAATTCGAAGTCCATTTTAAGCAAAATTTCATCGTTTAGTGACTCACTGGATTTGATTGTTTGATGAATATCGCATTCTTCTTTTTAAATAGGACACTCCTTCGATATTTCGAGCTTATAATGTTCCAATAATGTTAAATAAAGAGTGATCCATTTCGAGGTGCAAAACTATTTTAAATATAAAACCATAGACTTAAAATTTGATGGGTAATTTATTTTTTGAAGATTATCTCTTTCAAATGTTGGCCGGGGCTACGTTTCAGATGGTCCATCCGTTGAGTCCAATTTTCGATTACTCGTTCAAACATTTCGACTGGTAACTGGTGAATGAAACGCATAATGTTTTTTCTCCAAAGCCTGAATTAAAGCGGAAAAAAGTCTATCGGTTTGATATCATACGATATTGGTGACCAATCGACCGGGGCTACACGTGAAATTATCTGTTCTCTCATCTCTTAGAACATTTCCCATAAAATGAAGCGATGTTGCTTGTGAAGATCGAGCGGCTTCAGTTCTTGTAAAATGCGCYAAGTCGTTGTATACGTCAGTCCGAGTATTCAATAATTAATGCTCAAGATGGGTGAKGGTGTGGCGAATAGTACACTCAGTACGCCGATTATGTTGACCATGAGTTGATCTGTCAAAAAATACTATAGAAAAGACCTCTACTTATATCACCCGTTAATAGTCGCTATTGATATAATGTATATAATAAAACTTAGACGCCTATATCTGATCAAAAATGAACCGGGCATACATCATACATAAACTACGCACGCAAACCGAATATGTAAATATTTTTTATCCGCGTATTAATACAACATGAGAGCTTTGTCTGACGATTTTTGTCATGGAAAAATAAAATTGAAACAAGTTGCTTTAAATTTTGTTTTTCGAGTCTATTGGGGAGTCTATTTTATCACAAACACAAGTACTTGAGTGCCAGAAAGCGTATAGTGAAGGTTGTGAAGTGATCGAAAACTTGACTTAGCGTCCTTACACAAATTTTATTGATGACAAGAATGGATTCCTAAATTAAAGAGTGAAATAATAATATACCTTGAAAAGAAATAACTTGTTCCATAACTTTAGACTTCAGATGAAGATCCCAAAGTTTAAAGCTTATCCAAGCTCAAGCTCCTTATACAAAAATGGGTTATACCAAAATATATGAAAAGAGGAAGAAAAGTGGATCTTCTCAATGCATATACATTCAAATATTTGTTTACATATATACATACATAAAAACATACTCATATATGTATATAAATCTGCAGTATAAACTTATATATTTTTTATTTATTTATTTATTTTTATCTTAAGATTTAATTGGAACTTCAAATACAAAATAATTATATAAGTATGTGTGTAAAATGTCGTGCTCCGTTTATTTACGTACTACCAAAATCATAGTGCATAGTTCAACTACCCCACAACTTAATCGAAATGTAAACAAATCACTCCCTCACCGTTTACCATAACATCTCAAGTAGCAACGATAGCGACAGCGACAATAAGTCTATGTAATCAATGCACGCCATCACCAAGAACACCGTTCAAAATAATAAATAACAACTGGGCCACCCTCATTTTGAGGCAGAGTATTTGACTCGCCCACGTCCCTAGAGTTTTTCTTCCTTCGAGTTTGTACGCGCGGCGTAAGGAGTTAGATCCCACAAGCACTTTGTAACTCCAGTAGCTGACCAAGAGTGTTGTAGTGCGGAAGCAAATTGTATATCAAAATCGTTTGCTATATCACTCAAAACTAAAAGTCAAAATCAAAACTGAAAATTGGCCTCATATGAAAAATTTAATGTTAAAAATTTTGWTTTTAATGCAAAATTTCGCTTTTGTGTATTCGTTAAAAAATTTCTGTCAAAATTTTATAAGAGGCGATGGCCGAACTGCTATCGCGCGAAAAGGAATTCATTAAATTGAATCAAGAGTTGGACCAGCTAAACGTCACATCATTGGATCAACAACTACAACAGCATCAAAAACAATTGCCGCATCAACATCCCAATTGTAATAGTGTGGGAAATAGTGGCAGTAGCGGTAGTGCTGCTGGTACGAACACTGGGAGCGCCATCTATAGCGGCACATCGAAGTCAACGACTAACAAGACTGATCAACGATATTTCACCTATACAAAGTCCAAGGGCGCAAGCACTTTGCTCAAAAAGCGTCTCAACAATGTTACAACGGGTGGTGGATTAAACGCCAATGGCGCTGGCGATGGTGCCTCTGATGTGCTTTCGGATTTACCCACCGAACGTAACCATACACATCGTACACATACGGCTCGTAAATCGACGCAACAATCATCCACCTCCAATACGCCCARCATACGTCCGGATGGTGATAATGTTTTAACAGCACACTCGGAGACGCCGAAAACCAATCGGACGAGCAGTACATTACATAGGAAGCAAATTAAGAGTCCGGAAAGTGGCACACGCCCGTATGGACGTTCGAGTAATTGTAGTTCAAGGATCAAAGAGACCGCTTTCACGGTTAAATATCGCAATCCGAAATTCGTACAGAGTCCCTCTTTGGAGGTGCTGATACGTGATGAGAGCGCATCGATGCGTGCGAAGGCCAGCGGGGAAATTGACGATGGTTACTCTTCGCGGCGTTCGCTTGAAACAGGCCGAAAACATATTAGCCCCGATGGACTCATTAAGTATGATGTGACGTATATATAAACTTTACGCAAATAATTTATTAATATTTTCTTTATTTGTTTCACAGATTTCTCAAATCCAAAATAGCCATACTCGAAGAGGATCATGAACGCATTTCACAAGAGATGACACAACAAAAGGAGCTGCTCGAAAAGACATTAGAACGCAACAAGAAGATCGAACAGCAACGCGATCAGGCCTTCGCCAAACACAATGCAATTGCCGAACAATTAAGCAAGACGGAGACACAACTTGAGGAGGTGAATAGACGTATGAAGGAGCGTAACATCGAACAGGGTGGGCAGCAGAAGGAGCTCGAGACAGCACGCCGTGAGCTGAAAATGTTGTCTCAAACTAATACCAATCTTGAGAAGCGTTTGTATCGTGCYAATGAAGAATTGGAGAATACGAAGAGCGCATTGGCGTTGCTAAAGAATACCGAACGTGAACTCAAAGAGTCGATGCGTGTCGATGGCGAGACCAAGGATAAACAAATTAAAAGCTTGAAGAAGCAACGTGCCGATTTGCTTAACGCCTACAAGAAACAACTCTTTATTATTGACAATCTCAAGCGGCAGAATATTTGTATGGAACAATCGAAGATGATTAGTTTCGGTGAAAAAGAATTCGCAAAAGTACTCGAGTGGAACACGAAGTTATAGGTGGTGTACGAATGATATTTGTGATAAATGTATTATTTTGTCATTCATTACTTGTATGTCCATGCATTGGCATTAACCTGCTAAGTCCAACGATATCTAGTCCTTCCACATGCGTGTGAACATTTTAAAGAGATAATTTCAACATTATATATGGGTCTGAACCATTATTGTGGTATTTATGAGTAAGTAATACTTATTAATAAAGATTGCATTGCTAAAATGCTATTCGCTTTATAAATATCGAAAATGGAATGTTTTAATGGCGTTAAGCCCAGCTTCAAATGTTCTTCTCGGTAGCTATTGTAATCCTTGTGATTTTGTATGTAGTAGGATGAATAGCCCATACATCGTTTATGCATTCCTACCTTTACTTGTYGCTGTTTGTTCAGTTTGTCAACCAGACTACTTTGAACTTATGTTTTCTATATTGTCGTTTCTCGCGAGAGTCTGCTATGTATAAATTAAAAATGCTATGGGAACATTTGTATTAGGCTACATTCAGAGCAAGATATTCTATGTTAGACACATTCGACTTCTTCAACTTTACAGCAACGAACTCTAGAGCCAGATTACTACGTCAAGGTGAGAATTATTATTAGATGACTCTTGTCCTTTCTAGCCTTTTAGATAATCGACGAGGCAGGGATATGGAACTACAGATATATAAGTAGGTATTCTACTCAATGTACCCAATGTCATTGGAATTTGAAGCTGTTTGAAAAAAAGTAATAAAATATCTTCTTCTTTACTGGCGTAGACATCGCCAACGCGCGCCAGTCGTTTCTTCTTTTTGCAATGTGGTGCCAATTGGAGAATCGAGGCGAACATGCRACTAGACTATCCCGTCATTGTCATAACGTAGATAATTTCGTCTATCTTGGAACCAGTATACAGCAGCAACAATGTCTGCCTCGAAATCCAACGCAGAATAACTCTTACCAACAGGTATTACTTCGGACTGAATAGGGAATTGAGAAGTAAAGTCCTTCCTCGACGAACATAAACCAAACTCTATAAGTCACTCATTATTCAAATACTGCTGTATGGTGCAGAGGCATGGATCATGACAACATATGATGAGTCGACGTTACGAGTTTTCGAGAAAAAAGTTCTACGGAAATTTTTTTTATTTATTTATAAAAGCCTATACAATATTAATAACATATGTACAACCTAAAACATGCAGCGCTAGCTTCAGAGSCTATCAACTGTCCGTTGAATAAATGTGTTGGCTTAAATTCTCCTCAGTAGATCACATTCTTTAAGTTTATCAATAAACGTGTTTTTTGGAATCAACCATTGTGGATGACGACGTTTACTAAGTTTAGCAGGTTTTAATGGCAAGCTGTTTGTTTTGGCGAATATGGTGCATTTATATATAGCTGACTCAATTTTTGGAGGTCGGATACGTGAYGATGATGAAGAAAAGGCATCTTGAAGCACAAGGTTAGAACCAAGGATGATCTTCGGGTTAAATTTGTATGTGGTGTCTTCCATATTGTCTATCAGAGAGGGAAGACCGGACTCTGCTAATATATTTTTGATTGGTGACGTGGGGAATGCTCGAAGCGATCTTCTAACAGCGGAGTGATACGGTGCAGCCAACAATTTTAGGTGACTTTTTGAACGAGAGTATGAGTGCCTTGACAACATTAATTAGCAAAGATGGGCCAATGAGCGAACGCTTGCATGCTAGGTACTTAACAATATTTGAGTTTTTAGTAATTCTATTTCTAATATATTGACAATGTTGTTTGAATGCATATTTACTATCTAGAATTAATCCAAGAAACTTAAGTGTACTTAAGTAAGAGAGCATGAAATATTTACATTGTTGAATGAAATCGATGGAAAATGATAATTATGTTTTTTACAAATATGGAGTAAACTGGATTTTAATTACGATATAATTATGTATCTATGGATACTTGGGTATGTGATTGTGGATGGCAGGAGGGTACCGGTGAAGTTGTGGAACGGGTTATAGTGGTAGGAGAAGTAGTTGTGGAAAGGGGTGAGAAGGATGGAGAGGGGGAATTGTATAGGGAAGAAACGGAGGGAGAAGGGGTTTTGGGGCAATCATTATGGATTGAGTGTATGTTGGTAGGTTATGAAAAATTATTGTTTGAAGTTGTAGCTTTAATGTTGTCATTAGAATTATTAGTGTTTGAAGGTTTTTCGATGTTGATGYATTTTTTTGAGGAGTATTGTTGTTGGAAGCTGTTACATTCGCATAGGAGAATGATGACTGAGTAGAAGACATTTGAGATTTGTATAAATTGATGGCTTCACGCATCGAACACTTGTGGATAGTTTTAATTTTAAGTATCTCTTTAGACTGCACAAATTTTGGACAAAAAAATGCAAAATTTTGCACATTTGACTCTAGAGCATTCAGTGGGAGGGGTATGATTTGGGGGTAGGTTGCAGATAGTACAAGATGGGGTCTTGTTAAATCGCTTAGCAGTATGACCCAGCAACTGACAATTCTTGCAGCGCATGGGATTAGGATAGTAGGGACGGATATCGAGAGTACACCAGGCAACTTCAATACGACTAGGTAAAGTATAKTTATCAAAAGTTAATAATAAAGCACCAGTAGGTACACGATTACCATTGTTTATCTTCGTAAATTTRTAAACATCGGATACTCCTTGATCTTTTAGACCATCAATTATTTCGTCATCAGCAAGCTGACAGATAAATCTAGCATAAATTGTACCCTTTACTGAGTTCAGAGAGTTGTGAAGAGATATATCAACAGCACCAGCTCCGGGAAGATGTTTGATTTGTAAAAATTTGTCAGCGATTTTTCGGTTCTTGACCAAAAGAAGTAGGCTGCCGTCACGAAGCGATGTGATTTTGTTAATGTCTTTGCTTATGGCCTGAATACCTTTATGTACTGCAAAGCAAGAAGTGGATACAATAGGTTTTCTGGCGTCCTGTGATTTGATTACGAGGTACTTGGGATCATCYTTCTTAGAAATAGGTAATTCCGAGAAGAATTCCACCGTTGAATTTTCTGGCTTTTTCCTCTTGTTTTTAGGACCCGGGGATAGTAGTGCAAACCTATTATCCCCTAGCCTGTTGGCCCCAGGGGGCATTGCGAAAGAATTTACGTTCTTACCCGATTAAATTGTGGATTTAACTTTATAATTAAAAGTATATAGTAAAAAACACGTGGAAAGTGTAACGAATTGAAGCTCAAAATGTCAAAGCTAGGTTAAATTGCGCGTACACCACGTAACAAGAAGTTATGCAGCGAGTATGTATATGTGCGCTCGATATGAAAAAAATCAACCGTACACAACCACGAACAATGAACGAATGMTTCGGAAAATTATTTATGGTCATTTGCGCGTTGGCCACGGCGAATACCGGAATCGATGGAKCGATGAGCTTTACGAGATATACGACGTCATTGACATAGTTCAGMGAATTAAAAGACATTCATTACTTATAGAGTTCAAGCCCATTTCTCAAAGTATGGGAGTACGTTCCTTCGATATTAAGTTCATTATATTCTATTTGCATTAACTTTTACTCGGCTCCACTTGTACATACATATATAACCTCTAATATCTTAACATCACATATACATATTATATGCGCTTACGGTAAAATATTATATTTGACAGTGTGTGGGATAACTCGYGTACCAAATGTGTGGGTGTTACAACTAATCACATTTCATTGTCTGTTGCTAATTTTGATGCCTTATTTGCATTATTTATCGAGGTTTACAAGTTCTTTTCGCAACTTTACCCCCAACATATGGAAATGATAACTTGTCAGCACAGACAYGAGTTATTTTATTGAATTATTAGCGTTGAATTTCGCGAATCTTTGAACCTTTGAGAATCAAATGGAGAGGCGTTGCATAGACGCATAGCTTTATAAGTACGCCAAAGGTTCTATAATAAGTAAAATATTAATCGAACATATGAATGAAATTTGTGTATTTTGCAGTTCTTTGTGSCTTATATGATTAACGATTCTTTCATTTTGAAAATTGTGTCTTGTCCCATAGATTTTTACATTTCTTTCACTGCTACTACTAGCACTAATGACATGTTTATATAAGTATGTGTACAAGAATGTAAATTCTGGTTATACACGCTGGGAAATGTGAAACGTATCTGATGAAACAAAATTTCTCACGTCAYTGAACGGTATTTACAGAAAAATTTCACTTTGCTTTTAAGTAAATAGAAAATARATAAAAAATTATTTTTTTAATCGATATCTAATCATCATTGATGTTTTCGTATATAAATATATTTTATTGTATTAAATGGAAATTTTGCTTATACTATGTACATTAGAGCGGGAGCCAAAAAAATTTGGAAAAATCGCGTTTGCGGGAAATGTTCTACTAAAACTGCTTTCGAGCCAGCGATTTTTAGGTGAGGGTTTAATTTTCATGATTATACATATTTCTTTGCCAGTTTTTGAGACATCCGAATGAAATTGCATTTTGACATTCTATCGTTCGTCAGAATCGGCCAGATCGGAGAACTATATAACATATCTCCCATATAACCAATTATGCAGATATTTTACGGTATACTGCCTTTGAGTCAAAAGCAAAGAGAAATGGATCAGTTACTTTGCGTCATAAAAAATATACAAAAGATAAATCTTAATAATATTGAGAGAGCGTGTTTTTCTTATAAAGGTGCATCTTTGTGCTTAGAAAGACCATCTATAACTAACTAGCCTTTGGATCTGATGGTATTTCGTCGGCTTTAATCCTTGCATGTTGCCTTAATAGTTTCTTTTTTACTTTTGATGATTTTGATTCTATTAGTTCTGCTGTCAATGCGAATATATACCYCTTTTCCGAGGGACTGTCTGCTTACTATGATCAAAAACTAGTAAGACTTTGATCGTAATTTAAAAATTCTTAATTCATTCTTCAAAATCGTTGCCTCATTGTAATTCCCTTGGAGCCGGGAATGGGCAGCTAAAAACGTTTCTTGAATTTCAAATTTTACTGCGTATATTTTAAACAAGGCAACTAGTGTTGATAATAATTATACCAAACATGTTTTGTTTTACACATACTCGAGTTTGGCGTCTAACCCATAATTTTTCCACATATATAATACTAATCAGATAACAAAACTGCGAGAAATAAGAAAAGGGTGGAACTACAACAAAATATTATGACAGCTCTAATTTTCCAAGTAAACTCAAACTAATTACGTGCACATAAGCACATACATGGGTATGTCTCT